AGATGCTTGTGACATTCTAATCTCAGTATTTCTTTTACTCATGTATCCGTGGTTTGTGTTGTACCACGGATCACATACGAGCGTTTGTATTTTTGCGACCTGTAGGTGAAACAGGTAAAAGAGCGAAATTAAATTTTCAAACACAGTAGTCATTGTCAAGTTCTGAGCAAAATTAAACTTCCAGTATGAGAGTGTTGATGGGAACGTACAAAGAATAAGATCTTGACGTTGAAGCAGGATAAAGAGTGAAGGCCAGAGACTATACCAAGATTTATAGATTATCAGTGTTTCATGTTTTCTCTTTTTATTTCACAAACATATGAAAAATATCTGTGTAAAGTCGCAGTGAAAATTTTTCTTGCTTGATAATACGCGGACGGAGACGTATAGGGTTCTGTAATTCTCAAGAGGCTGTGGAAGAGTAACGGTTATTGCGGAATCCCAAGTTTTGAAGAATCTGGACGGTTGAGATTGAATTCATTGCTGTGGTGTGGTGTACTTGTATTACTGGGAGTAACATAATAGGTTGACAGGATGTAGGTTGCATGTGATTAATGCCCATCGTATTTACAAATTGAATTTTGGTCTGAATTTTTGCCAACACAAAGTACATATGAACAGGCCACTTTCAGTAGTAATTCGACAAAGTAATTAAATAAAATGTCACTACGTTGGTTATATATAATAATCATTTGAGAGGTTCATTTTAATTACATGTTTTACACTACATACATATATTTTTATTATATTCCATGGATCTATAGGATAGTCAGATGACAATAGGATGTGGAAAAAGTAATAATAATAATAATACAAATACAATACATATTATAAAGTAATGTTAGGAACTTCTGCCAACATTCCAGCTGATTGCTGATTTCCATAGAAATTTTGTCACAAAATCTGCACAATTGTCAAAGCTTCAAGTGATGTGGTGGAGACAAGAAAATGTTTCTTTACTTTGAGTAAAATTTACAACATGAAGTTAGAGGGTTTTTGGGTATGGCAAGAGGATTGCTGCCAGAAGAGGGGGCACTTACGAATTGGACTAGGTGTGGGCACTACCAACATACTTCCAACTAGCAAGACACAATTTTTTTTAAATCAGTGACCAAGTTCAGTTTCTGCAGACTGTTACGTGGTACACAGCACACAGTTATCATATAAGACACATATGCTAGAGTTTGCTGGCATGTACAAATTTTTCATTTTGCACTGGTAGATGCCACCATAAGCCTGTGTCAGATTCCTCCATGAGGAGTGCCTTTTTCATAATTATACTTTTGTGGCTTCCTGCATTTCCACGTTACTTGATGTAAAGTGGTCCCAGATAAGTTCCATTCTGTATGTCAGTATTGGAGTACAGGTGTTACATTTACCTTGAGCAGAGTCGTGGCTGTTTCAAGTGACAGTTGCTTGTGATTGATGACACTCATGGTTCTAATGGTAATACTGCTCTTGTTCACATGGATATTGAAAACTGTTTCCAGTGTCTGAAGATAAACACGAGTTCACTGTGTGGAGTTCTACATTTTAACATGCCACATGATCATTTTTTATGATCCTGGCTTTCTTCTAATGGGGTTCTCCAGAAGACTTCATAATTGTGTCTTAGGGTAAAGAGTGGCAGCAAGTGATATGAAACTGATCACTTGTCTTCATGTAGTATTAGGGTTTAGAATTTATACACTATATATCAGTCATGGTTTTCCATCTCAAGAGTCAATCTTAATACGTCTTTTAATTTTGTATTGCTGTCCTGCTATGTTTGATAACTACCAAGGTTTATTTTAGTAAGAAATGTTATGCTATATTACAGGTAATGTTACATGCTAATATAAATTAATTTTTGCTTTCTTTATTATTTTTAGAACTTTCGCGTGTTGGAATGGCAGCAGGAACTACGTTACAGGTAACATTTTGTATCATTTTTAAGTAAAGGTTAAATAAAAGTCAGTATACACATTTATGAATGGAGTGAATGTACTTTGAATATGACTTTCATTTCACATTAATGTGGAACTATTCATTCTGTAGTGCAGGGGTTTTCATGAGGAACTGATGGGTACTTAGCTGGTAAATCATTCCCTATGCTTTGTGGAAAGCAAAGGTTCATTACCATTTTTATGCAAGCCTGCATTGGACCTTATCTGAAGCCAATTGAATGTAGTGGGATTTGAAGCACTTGATGACCACTTTATTATGAGCTTATTCAACTCATTTACAGCTATCCTCATAACCTTATTTACAGTGCTACCAATTTCCAGTTTGTTGTAACAGTTGTGTACTGCCAGTATAATGTATAAATAGTTGAAAGCCTTTATGAAGTGAGCTTTCAGGTTCTCATATAGTCTGGTTGAGACTAAAATATGTACATTCTGAATGTAATAAGTGTTAAGAGTAACCTCTATGGTGGTAAGTGTGAAAGTAACAGCCTTTATTAATTTATCAATTGATAAGTGATACTTCTTGATAGTTATAGAATTTATTGACCTTTTCCAAATAGTTTATATGTCTGTTTAGATATCAGCCTTTAATTGTGTTGGCTATCAATTCTTTGTAATAGTCTTTTGTTTGTATCAATCTGAACATCCTCTTCTGCTCTGGTACAAAACCTGTAATAGTGGAAACTACATGGCATATGATAAGTGCAAGTGGTATTTTCACTATGTCTATGAAAGTTAATTGACATAATTCTTTAATTAGGCAATATAACGCTTCTTTCATTGACTTACATTGACCATCAGGAACTGTGAATCGTGTAATAGTTGCTTGAGAACTGTGATCCATTTTGGAATTGGTTAACATATAATTTGCATTGAAAAGCTGCTTTAACTATTGAGAGGTGGCAGGAGAGGTTTCTTTCATGGATTTTTACAAAAACTAAATCAATTCAGAACAGATTGCTTAGTGTTTTTAAGTGAGGTTTCTGGTAAGAATAATAAGTTAAAGAAATGTGAAGGCAAACTAACAAATAACAGAATAATGGTATGGACATGTTTTAAGAGTGAACAAAGACAGAATTACAGTAAAGGTTATGAGCATGAGAGTGAAAAGAAATTGCCCAAGAGGGAGACCAAGTCCAAGTTGGGAACAACTGGTTAGGAAAGAGAGTAGGATGACCATGGGAAGAAATTAAGAATGAGTTGTAGGAAGACAGACAGATGGAGAAGTTTAGTTGTCAGATAACCCACCTAAAGTGGAAATGTCTTAGGAAGAAATACAAGATGTCTCACATGTAGCATTGGAAGGGTTAAATTAAGTTTGTAGTGGAAGTACAATTAGCTAGTTCATCTGACCTATTTTTTTTTATTTAGCCACTAGATGACAAACATGATAATAGGATCAGAACTGTCTTTAAAAAGTTAATTGTGTGTAAGAGGATGTATTTGATTAATTGCTGACAACTTTCAGTTGTTTTAGGCAAAAAGTATACTACTGTTTTAACTACAATCCAACTTGGTTAGATGTGGCAGTGTTGAAATTTTAATAGTGAAAGAACAAGAGTTTCAACCATATACTGTTTTAACTGAACTACCAAGCCACTTGTATATCTGATATGTTGAACTAACGCTGTAATAAAGCGGCATTGTATGTATAACTCTTGTTTACCTAAAAAGATATTCTCTCTTATATGTTAATACCTGTGAGTGGTTATTATTCATCATTGTCCAGTTTAGAAAATGTTTACCAGAGATTCTTTCTTTTTCTTTTTTCTGCAGAAAGCAATTGATCTTGTAACGAAGGCAACAGAGGAAGATACAAAGAAGAATTATGAAGAGGCATTAAGACTGTATGAACATGGTGTAGAATACTTTCTGCATGCAATGAAATGTATGTTGAGACAAATTTGCAGTTTATTAATATAAAGTTTTGAGACAGTCTTAAAATGTACAAGTATTTTTAAGATCCAAAAGAAATTTATGGGACTCAATGTAGATCAGAATTCTGAGATTGATCAGCAGTCAGATATGTGAGTAGAAATGTGTCCACTTTATGAGGCTTCATATTGAGTCCACTGGATGGGATTAATGGTAGCATACTGTAGGAATACCATAAATAGATCAAATGCTTATGCACCCAAGTCCTCCTCCCCCATCCTTTTATGTCTGCATATTTTATAGCCAGCTGAACTGGTTACACTTACTTTTTGGCCAAAGTGATTTCTATAACATCCAGAAAGATAGGTAGAAAAAAAGGCCATGTGATTAATGGATGTTTTAACTTTGGCTGTTCACTATGGTTCTTCTAGATTCCATAATGTTATTTTTTGTGAATCTTTTATCTCTCTAAATCTGCCCACGAAGTACTCTGTCCAGTGGATCCTGGAAGTAAAGTGGCTGCACCATGAAGCTGACTACTCACCACTGTTTACTGTTCAGGTCTAGACCTCCAAGGCCCTGTATGCTTGCATAACATGATGATTATGCACAGAGGCAACTTTAACTGTACTGTGGCATAGTGATTAGGGATTAGGAGGATTTTAAGGCAAAAATCAACCGATCCAAACAAAAATATGGAGGTGTCCTATGTAAATGTTGCAGATGAAGCTCAAGGGGAGAGAGCAAAGGAGAGCATCAGGACCAAGTGTAATCAGTATTTGGATAGAGCAGAGAAATTGAAGGCATACATAACAAAGGGTAAAGGGAAGAAACCACTGAAGGCTGGAGAAAGTGATTCAAAGTAAGTGAAACCTTTTGTTTTAATTATCAGTGTATTAATATTTCTGGATGAAACACTATAATATTTATGTATAAGTTTTGCAGTTGTGCGGGTATTTGGATCCTGGAACAGACAGTCTAACCTGGTCAGCAGAACACAAGATCCTCTGCACAAGTGTTTGTCACTGAAAAAAATTGTTTTTTCTCTCTTATAACTTATTGATTTTTTCCTCCAGGAATAATGACAAAAAGAGTGACAGTGACAGTGACTCTGATGATCCAGAGAAGAAAAAGTTACAGACTAAGCTGGAAGGAGCCATTGTTGTAGAAAAACCCTGCGTGAAGTGGGCGGATGTGGCAGGGCTAGAAGGAGCAAAGGAAGCTTTGAAGGAGGCTGTCATTTTACCCATAAAGTTTCCACACCTCTTCACCGGAAAACGAATACCTTGGAAAGGGATATTACTTTTCGGGGTAAGACTTTAAATATGCTGTCATGGCATGAGGACTTTGTTGTCACTTTTTTCACAACAAACCAGCCCCTGAATGAATACACAGAATCATATGCAGGAGGTACATTATGTAATGCTATCATTGGGTTGATTTGCTATAATCCTATAACATGATGGAGACCATTGAACTTACTCAAACAGTTGAATATCTCATCATGAAGAATTCATTATATACTGTACTTTTCATGAAGAACTCTTTCTACAAACAGCAGTAGAGAGTTGTTTCTTAATGTCATGTTAGCAGTGTTTTCATGGCATGACATATTGTGTACACTTTATTAGATAACACACTTAATGAAATATAACCATCTACTACAAATTTTGATACAAACATGAGTCTGCAGTAAATGAACTTTACAGCCAGTTATGTATGCAAAATAGCAAAGAATTAAATTGGAACATAAATGTTCTCCAGTATGGTATACAGTATTTTTGGTATTGTAGTTTGTTGGCTTTGCTACACATTCTGGCATATTTACATTTCAAATTGCCTGGTGGTGTTCATTGTAGTTTACAAATATCTTTTTTCAGCCCCCAGGAACAGGAAAGTCATTCTTGGCAAAGGCTGTTGCAACAGAGGCAAACAATTCCACATTTTTCTCAGTATCATCATCAGACCTGGTATCCAAGTGGCTTGGAGAATCTGAGAAACTTGTGAGAAACCTCTTTGAATTGGCGAGACAGCACAAACCTAGTATAATCTTCATTGATGAAGTGGATTCACTTTGTTCTTCGCGCTCTGACAATGAGTCTGAATCAGCTAGGAGAATAAAAACTGAGTTTCTGGTTCAGATGCAAGGTACAATATTTTAAATCAGTTGCTTGATATATATATTGTGCACATTCACTGCCCATGCCAGGTACTCTCTGGGCCACCTGTAATTTTGTTACCTAAATGTAAAATATTCTGTATTTGACATTTGAAAGGTTTTATTTAATTTCTTTCTTGATTAGATGTCAATAGCTGATGGCTATATAGAAAGCTGACATGACAAACAAAAATTAATTTAAACAGGATCAATAGAAAGGAAAATTTAAGAGACCAAAAGCTACTTCACTTTTCAGAACAGCATTATGATTAGGAGAGCAGGTGTCTTTACACAAGGGAAAGTGACACGTTTCAAAATGAGCGTTAACATTTTAAACAAATTCTTCTAGATAGATAGCACATGATGTTAATTTGAACAGTATGTGTTTAATACAGCAAAGTGGCTGGTTCAGGCAGGCACTGAACCACTGGGTTGTGAGAGTTTTTGGTAAAAGTGTAGACATCAGAAGGTGTTACTTTGTAAATAACAGATAATCCTTAGTTCTGCAGGTGATTGCATCAGTAAGTAATTCAGAGAAGCGAACTGTAGTAGATGCCACCAAATTGCATGCTTCAAAGTCACAGCAGTCATACAACATTTCAACACAGTGGAGCAAATAAAACAGCTTAGAACTTGCAGCATAGTGAAGCTAACAACACTGTACTGGTGACTTAGAGCCACACAGTGGAGGTGATGAAGTCCTTCAATGACCTTGAAGCATGCAGTTTGGTCATGCCTGCTGTATTACTCATATCATTGATGGGCTTTTATTGATTTATGAAGGGACTTCTTTGCTATTCCTCTCAGGTGTTGGCAATGACAATGATGGAATACTAGTTTTAGGAGCCACTAATATCCCTTGGGTATTAGATGCAGCTATTCGAAGAAGGTTTGAAAAGAGAATTTATATACCGCTTCCTGAAGAGCAAGCCAGACTGGAGATGTTCAAGTTACATTTGGGCAATACTTCACACACACTCACAGAAGATGATCTCAAAAAACTGGCCAAAAACACAGAAGGGTATGTATATTACTCGAGAATAAAGTAGTATAATTTGTACAAGTACCAAAGGCACATCAGAGAGAGTTGGCCTGTATTAATTTTCCATAACTCCTACTTGAAGCTCAAAATGAATTTCAGATTTCTCAAAAATAACTCATCATACAAAGAAATGGTACTTTATAAAGTATACCTCTAATTATAAAGTTACCTTAATTTGAAACAATTTTTGAATATGTACATTTGATGAAATTCAAGAAAAATTGTTTATGCCTCTTGGCATTGTAATGTACGAGGTGCGATCGCAAAGTTTCCAGACTGCGCATATAAAAACCCGTACACTTATCTCAGGTATTAAATTCATCCATCACCCTCGAAGTAGTTCCCCTGGGAGTGAACACAACGATCCCAGATGGTGCTTGACAGGCTGACAAAGAAAGATTTCCAGGGATGCTTCCAGGCTTGGCAGCGGCGCTGGGATCGTTGTGTTCACTCCCAGGGGAACTACTTCGAGGGTGATGGAAGAATTTAATACCTGAGATAAGTGTACGGGTTTTTATACGCGCAGTCTGGAAACTTTCCGATTGCACCTCGTATGTAATGGACCATAATGAAGTTCGCCGATCAGCTATAAACCACCATACCATATTTAATAATAATTAACTTTGTTAGAAAATGAAACAAGGAGATGGACAGACATACTACTCTTTGTAACTTTCTGTGGAAGCAATTCCAGACCACTGTTCACTGAACATTTCTTACTCGGGTTTGATACTAAGCTCCCTTCTTGTGTGGCACTCCTAGACACAGGCTGTTTATTGAGGCTGTTCAAAGCAAGAGTTGAAATGCTGTGGGAATACAATGTTTATTTAATTCATTTTTAGAGAATTTTATGACCATTGAGGCATGGAAATTGCTTTTCTGGTTTGCCACCTTTTTGTTAGATGTAATAATTCTCATTTGTTTCAGTACAGACAAGTAACATAAATATTAGGGCCTGAAAGAATATTTTAGCAATTTCAATTGGTCCATTAGGTTCAGACACCCAATAGATTGTCTGGAAGAGGATGTAAGTCTGGGTGAAAGATAACATTTTTAATTAAATTAACTTCCCTGCATGCATGGCAATGCAATCTTACAACCTTTTCAAAGGCTTGCTGATAATTTCAAAAGAATGTGCAATATTGATCAGTGCATGAAATTCCTTGTGTTAAGCAGTTATTAAAACAAATTGATAACAAAATAACTTGGTAGTTAGTGCTTCAAAATCAATGCTGCTGTGAAATAGATAACTGAAAATTTGGTTTGTGGTCCATTTGTTACTGGATTTTATTTGCTGTGCTAACTGACCACTCTGTTCCATCTTCTACTAATGTCAGGGTCTGGAATGATTGGAGGTTTATGAGCTCAACTGAATGGTCAAGGTCAAATGAATCACTACACCAACAACAGGTTCTGTGCTTGTGGTTGTATGAGCTTTCAACATTAGGCAATTCATGAAGCAAACAAATACTCTCTAGGTATTGTTTGGCCACTGCCGTGATTTCAGAACCAGATATTTGTACCTGTTAGAAATCCACTGTACACACTTATATCTTTTTGTCACAGGTATTCTGGTGCTGATATCAGTATTGTTGTACGAGATGCGTTGATGCAGCCTGTAAGAAAAGTTCAAACAGCTACTCACTTTCGGTGTGTCAGGGGACCATCCCATGCAGATCCGAGTGTCACTGTGAATGACCTCCTTACACCATGCTCACCAGGATGCCCTGGGGCTATTGAAATGACATGGGTAAATGTGGAAGGTGATAAGCTGTTTGAGCCACCAGTCACAATGGTGAGTGTATCTGGTGTTTACAGCTTCAGTGTTGGAGTACTGGTAAATGACACAACAGATGTCAGGAGGGGAGGGGGATTGAAACTGAATGATTGCATCAGTTACTGATCTATGTTGATTTTAATTTAATAAAAAACTTAAATATGAAAATGTTATTAGAAGCTTGTAAAGAAACAAGCTAGAGACACCACCAGAAAATAGAACAAAATCATAATATAAAAATAGCTCATCACAGGAGCCAGTCACAACAAAAGTGGTACAAAACCTTGGAAATTCAAATGAAATTATATATTTTGTGTGAAATAAAACAATTGGAATGGTAGGGAAATTAACTGGGCTAAAAATAATCTTGAAGTCAAAAATGAATACAAAGTAGGATTTGAGGTTTTCACAGCAATGAGTTTGAAGATGGCTGTCTTCTGGGTTGCTGCGACATATAGTCTGGTAGAAGGTTACTGACATTTCAGTTGGTAAACTGCTACCGGACTATGTGGCGCAGCAACCCAGAAGACAGCCATCTTCATAAATACAAGACTTGATGTAACTGGAAATCCTGCTAACAAACTGAAGTAATATTCATGATGCTACAAAAGGCAAATTATTTACAGAAATGCTTGCTACTGTTCAGTATAGATTCAGTTATCTTCCCATTTTCCTTATAAAGATGTACCTAAAAGCATAATTTAACCTGTTTTTTTCATGTGTGAAACTTGGACTTACCATATAATAAGAATATAGATTGAGTGTGGTTGAGAACGAAGTCCTGAGGATGTAATTTGGAGCTAGGAGAGATGAAGTGACAAAGGATTGGAGAAAAGTACATAATCAGAGATTCATACTTCATACTCTTCATGTACTGTTAAGGTTATTAAATTAAGAAATGCAAGGTGGTTGTCACATATAGCATGCATGAGGGGATTAAGAGAATTAGGGTGCGAGTGTATGGATTGGATTCAGGTGGCGCATTGCAGGATCCATTTATGGTCCTTGTAGCACAGTCCTTGAGAAGGTAATAAATAGTCTCTTAACTAGTCAAGAAGTTCCTCACAAGCTGGTATATGGAACTCACAAATTTATTACTATGTTCATAAGAGGTTGCCACTGGACTCTGAGTCAGTTGAATCCAGTTCAAATCCTCATATCCCATTTCATGAAGAGCCATATTAATATTGTCCTCCCATCTATCTGTATGCCTCCCAAATTCTCTTCCCTTCTAATTACCCTACCATCTCCTGTGTATGGTACATATCCTACCCATCTCATCCTCCTTGGTTTGATCACCCTAATAATACACAACAAAGAGTAATGTTGCACTGTTCCCATAAAAACAGTGGTATGTTCTGACTGTTGGACAGACCATAGCAAGTCCTATTACTATAGTGCTTCCCTAACATAGTTTTCCTTTGTTAACAGAGTGACATGATGCGGTCGCTTGTCACATCAAAACCTACAGTCAATGATGAAGACATGGCAAAACTAGACAAATTTACAAAAGATTTTGGTCAAGAGGGATGACTTCGATACAAGTACCATTTTCTCTTGTATGACACCCTAACTTTGAATAACACTCAGTTCCTTTCTGCAAACTTTCACATTGCTTCCAAGACAGTGGGGCTGATCCATGTGGCATGTGTTTAATTAGTGGATAATATGTGTATGCTGTTTTCTTCACATTATTGAATTAGAATGTGTGAAACATTATGATCAATTGCAAAAGAATGGAAACATGTAAATAATATTAATTGTTGACCACTTTCTTGTAATTTACCTAAATTTGTATTCCATTATGTTTCATTAATGCTGGGAAATTACAACAATTTCATACATAAGGTATACATATTACATAATACTTGGTAATGTAAAGACAGTGTTAGAAGATTGAGGTAGTAAAATTTCAATATATTATATACATATGAAGATTCTATTAAAATTTTTATTGTGACAACTTCTTGTTTGAGTGCTGTTTTATATATAGTACCGTGCCACAGATTATTGTTTGACTACAGATTACAGCTTAAATGGTATGGTAAACAAACATTATACAGGGCAAGTCTAAATGATGTTCCCGATTTGAAAGACATGCTACTCACATTTAATGAAATTCAGATGCACAAAATTGATGCCGATGGAAAGAGAGAAACTCCAAGTTTTGTTTCAGTACATCACAGGTGTTCAATATGAACCCCCTTGGTAACTCGGCACACATCCAGCCTGTAGTCGGAGTTCCTCTCAGACACGTTGCAGCATATCATGATCGATTGCTGCAATGGCTGCTGTGATATGCGCTCGCAGATCAAGCAAGGTCTGTGGTAAGGGTAGCACGAATACTCTATCTTTGACGAACCCCCACAGAAAAAAATCACAGGGCGTCAGGTCCGGTGAACGTGGAAATACAGGACACAATAGGCTCCCCTGTCTTCGATGGCAGCCATTTTCTCTCATATCGCCCCTGGCGGCGAAAATTGTTACTACGCGGCTGCGAAGTATACCAACATAAACTTGGAGAGTTTCTCTTTCCATCGGTACTAATTTTGTGCATCTGAATTTCATTAAATGTGAGTAACGTGTTTCAAATCGGGAACATCATTTAGACTTGCCCTGCAACCAGCTTGCTAGGAATTTCTCATGCATCAAGAAGAATGTTATTGTAACATTTTGCGAAACAGAATAGGTCAAAGTTTAGTGCAACATCATTTCCAGAAAAAATTAACACGAGTGCTTTACATTTGAATTAGTTATAAAACAGTCGACAATTAAAGGTCATGTATGTACAGTATTCTGTTTTTGTATATACAGTAAACAATAAAGAGTTTTGTCTTAGTGAAACAAAAGTGAAGTGGATGAACTCTGCTGTGATCCCTCACACCATATAATTACAGTGCAGTATGTCACTAATATTCCATGTTCTGTGATTTATAATTCTGAATGGGCTGAAGAGGATACTGTACTAGATACTATGTAAACTGATGTAGAGAAAATTGTGGTTGACCCTCGTGGCACTGATTTGTTGTAAATGAAGAAATAGTGCTGCTGGGAATGTTATATATAGCAATTACTGTTTTGCATTGATTGACAAGTAACAAGACACCTCCACTCCTTTTCCTGCTGCAAAAAGAGTGAAATTTTGAAGGTCAGGCTTCTTGCAGTGTGTAACAGTCAGTCACAGAATGTTGCCCAGTAGTCTACTGGTTAAGTTACTTGGTGTACCACTTCATGCTACCTATAGTGAATCCTTGAATATTGACACACATCTGGTTTATAAGCAGAAGTTTTAGAAGGTGCATAAGCTTAATATGATATTCAAGGTTCTAGAATTTAAATGTCATTAAGGTTCAACCATAGAGTGGGGATTGTACATCTTATCACTGCTATTCATAAAGAACATTCATTCTCTTCATTAAAGCTCTTACACTCAAGCAATTACAGAGTATTTTCAGGTCCAGAGACAAAGTGAGTACCTTGGAAAGAAGCTCAAAGACAGAAGTTACATATGTGTCCTTGTCTCCTGTCATATTCAGACCAGAAACACTGACCACAGTATGGTAATGACTGGTTATGTGGTTATTACTGTCTTGTAAATGAGACGTGGTGTGATATCCTACTTAATCTTTATTGTCCATGTGTCACAACATGCATAGTCCAGCTGGCTCTGTTGCATTAACACACCACTAAACCATTAACCAACAGGTTTAAATCTGACTGGCAGCCCTTTAGTACATGGTTTTTAAGCCCATATACTTGTATGATAAATTTTCAAACAAATTTTGGGGTTATTATTAACTTTTCCAGTTTCAACATACACATTTAATTTGTTTCTAGGCATTTCTAGTTCCATTGTGGTAGGCAGTGATACCAGCTGCTAAAGTGTTATGTGTACCAGAGTTGGTATGGAGTCTATAGGATTATAACAGGCAAAATGCTTGTTCATACTTACCTACATTCACATTACAGAAACAGCATTTTTGCAACTTTTTACTCTGAACACACCTAAAAATGGCAGTAAAACTAGTACTTATTGAGGAATCTTCCTCTTATCAGCTTCATACAAAATGAAATAAATGATCTTCTCCTAAGATTTAACTCTGTAATTACTGAATAGTTATATTTGATTTTGATGTAGTAGATCAACTGATCAGGCATTATGCAAGGTGGTGATAAAGATGATGGCCAGCTGGAGATGCCAGTTAACTCTGGCTCATGGTATAGGCACTGAATTTGTGGCTTTCTCTTAGGTAAAGACTGAAGACAACATAAACAGTATGTGTATTAGAATAATGATGCAATTTTTAAACTCCAAGAGCCAAAGTGGCCATCATTTTGTCACTAATTCAATTTTCAAAAATTATCAGAAGACATTATCTTAAAAACTATATTCACCCACATATGTACATCTGGAAAAGGTCACGACAAGGTATGTCATTTAAGAATTGAGAGGGAATAAGTTACTACAGTGTTATGTGTATGTACAATTACTATATTTACACTACCCAGCTCAAGCACTCATGGAGGGCAATGCCGTAAGTACTCTGAGTCAAAGTATACAACTGTAATAGTTATATCATCCCTGAATACTCTGACTAACTCCTGTGGTATCGACAACAAATGAGAAAGTTTTACATGATCAATACCATACTCAGTGCCACCCAAGGCATTCCTCATTAAGTGCGTTGCTGCATTCCTGTCAGTAGGTTTCATCTTCAGCCCCTCCTTACGCTGAAGCAGCATCTTATTGATGTCAGAAATGTGCATGCCCTTGCGAGGGAGTCTGAATGGGTTGAGTGTTACTTTACCACTCATATGTTCTCCTACCAGCCGTACCACTTGCAAGGGTGACACAAGGTCCCACAGCCCATCTGATGCTATCACTAAAAACTTGTCCCTAGGAGTAAGCCGATGGTATGTTACATCAGGACATGCTGTGAGGTATGGTGGTGTGTAGTAATTTGGAGGAATTACAGTCTCTCCATAATATGGGAGTACAGCATTGCTCAATGTGCTTTTGCTCCACTTGTATTTGACATCTCCAAGTGCTCTAAGAGGGGCCAACTGTCCCAGGAGTCGTTCCATTTTAATTATAGTGTCTCTTTCATTGTTTGGATGCTCTCTGAGAATTCTTTCAACTTCCTCATGATTGTCTGTATTGTGTTCTGTCGTCAGTTTCTTCGCAGTCCATGTGCTGACATCACTGAGCATTCCAAGCACACACTGACAGTCCCCTATGCTAGCTACATGCAAGTGGGGTCCATCAATATGTGCAACACATGCTACTGCACCTGACATGGCTATGGACAAGGTCTTCATATTTACTTTTCCATCATTCTTACATAAAGCCTCATTAGATATGTCGTCATCCAGCCGAAGAAATGCTTTTTCCATTGCTTCTTTCATATGGAAATCTCTTTGATTTCCCTTAATTTGAGACAATTCTTTAACAAATATTTTGAAACTTGCTTCATACAAAATCTTAAGTTCATCTACTAATTCTACCTTGTCATTATAAACATTAAGAAGTTCCATAGTCTCATTATTTTCCAAAGCATTGAGATATTTATGAAGAATATCTGGTGGAAGCAAACAGACAGTGATGTAGTGGAAAAGTCTCTTTGCAATTACTTGGGCACATGATGCCCCTCCATGTCCATCAAACACTCCCAGCAATAGGCCTGTTGACAAACAGAGGAGAGAATATTAATGTGGCCTTAGTTATAATCTGTATAGCATACCGGCATACAAAATGAAATGCTCTGTGACTGATAAAACCATCATCTATACAGTGACATGTTTCCTTCTCCATAGGCAATCAGATTATAGGTACAGTAATATATCCATGGATTATTAATGTGTCTGGGCACAACTTGTGTTGACCTCAGGTCAAGGACATGAGATAGGATCTTTGGACATTCATTCTGATGTCAAAGAATATTAACAAATGCTATAATTTGGCTGGTGTTTAATATTGGTATTCATATACACAAAATCCTTTCATACAGTAGTTGTAAGTATATGTGGTGATTATATTCTAAATCTTTCCAAAGGTTTAAAAAAACTGATGGCACTAATAAAATAATTACTTTATGATCCACATATTTGTTCTATACAACAAATATTTACAACAAACTACAAATCAATAAATATTATCTGCTGAAAGGAGATATCATATACTGTAGTGTGACACTGCTGACTTTAAATGAGCTTACCGTTCGTTAACAGACATTGTGCCTCAGTCCTTGTGTCTTCAATGGGGTTGTTGGATGAAAGTTGATTTGAATCATAGGACTTGACAGAGCCAGTTGTGGTAAACTCCTGTGTATGCTCATTGGCACGAAGAAAGCTGGTCACCTACCACATAAAAATACACATATTGGCAACTGACAACAAACTATAGGATTAATTATATTACCTCCATGGCACAGTGTCATTTAAAAGCTGATAGTCACTCAGCTAATATTCCCCACAGAATTATAATACTGTGTTTAAAACATGTCACTGGACATATCCTGAACTTGATGAATCTATTCTACATCCTCAGAACCATTTCTTTAAGATCTATTTTAATATTATCCACCCATCTATTCCTATGTCATCCAAGTGACTCTTCCCCTTCATATTTTCTGATTTAAATGTTCAGTGCACAGATTCAATTACAAATTTCAATATCATACAACATTTAATGTTTATGGGAATGAAACCAAATGGGAAACATACATAAATGGCAAAAAACAATTAAAATGAATACAAGAAAAATTAGGATGCAAATATGTTAATATCAGAGTGCCAAAACAACAAGGAAATGCTTGTTGAACCGAATAACTATAAAGAACTATAATGCATCATGGAGTTAGGTAAGTTACTGGGATTATGTAATATCTAAAGACTGATTGGTAGCATGATTAGTCTGCAAAACTGACATTGGAGGACAGTGTCACTGCCTTTTTATAGTTCCACATAACTTTGAAGGAGGAGATAGGGCAGCTCAGTCAGTATAGTGACTAGGTTATGGGATGCACATCTGGGATTTGAGTCCTAGCAGTCATTCTCAATGCCACAATGTCCAGACCAGCTAAAAGGCCCATCTAACCTCATATTCAATGGGAACTGGGCTTCTTTCTTCAGGGAGGTAAAGCAGATCACATTTGAAGCTAACTATTCACCTCCATCTAGAGCCAAAGTTAAGAATGAATGGAGTTGTAGCCCCACTCCCATATACATCTGTATATCACAGTACCAGGGACAACTTTACCTTTGCCTTACAACTTGAAGGGTCAGGGGAAACAAAATATGAGTCAGGTTGGCCAACATTCAACTGTATAAATGCTTTGTGATCTGATAGTTCTATATGAGGTTTATGATAGATAACATTGTGATCAAGCAAATTTCCTGGAATTTTCCTATTTTTTCATCACATCAATAATAAATCTAAACATTATTTACTCATGATAACCAGTACCATCAAAGCGTAATTGCAGCTGCTGCTACATCTTTAAATAATCTAGTACATGTATTAATTAACTGATGCATGGAGAACTACTCTTACCTCTTGGGGCGAAAGTCGGGGTGTGCCAGCCAAGTTCTTGGATGTGTACAATGTGCGGTAGTTTTGATGATACTGTTCATATATCCTTTGTTCTTTTTGTTGAATCACATTCTTGTTTAAAACGCAGATAGGCCTAGCTCTTTTATGATACTCTGCTGAACGCACAGTACATTTACCAAAGCATTTGTTCGCGACCAGCTGTTGGGCTCTGCAACCTATTGCCATTTCTTGCTGCAAGAGATCGGTCGAGACTATCAGCGGTATATGAACTTATTTAAGCTGATCTTTTAATTTTCGCCACTCAAGCGGACCAAGTATGAATAAATCAGTGCTAGGACTTGAACAGCAGTGTCCTCATGGCCCTTTAATCAAAGTCCACTTCGCACCGAAAACTCATCAATGTACAAGTGTAAGGGCTAAAGTAATACTTTTTTCGAGTATCTGTCTGTGCGAAATGCGGAATAAATGACCAATGTATTAGCCTATTCATATGATTTTAATACGATATGTATTTATTGCGCATTTGTGACATTCATTTTAAACAGGATAGCAACAGATGGCGCAAAATGTGGAAAATTCCAATGTTCCCGACTCCACACATTAACTCAAATTGATCGTGACGTTGTTATCTTCTGTGACCATGACCTACACTAAAATCATGGATACTGAAACCCTGAACCACCGAACCCTACATAGATATATCTTTATCTTGTGATTATCTGAGTTTATTTGAAAAGTGTCAATGTTGACCACTACAAATGATAATGATGAGAGAAAGAATTAATTGGCTAACGGAAAAATATTAAAGTTTAAAAAAATTTCCCTATATAAGGTTTTCCTTTTAGTGCCTGCCATTATTGTAATGATTTTCTTTCAGATGTAAAATGCTTTCTTGCTGTCTGTTGAGTTTTCCCAGAAAATAATTCCAATGGATTTGTGCCCTGGTTTCTGGATTCCGATCTTAAGATTTATTGGCCGAATCAATTTTTTTTAAATATATTTATGTTATATTTTTACAGGCCTTCATAGAGTTGCCTGAACAAGGTTATGTGTATTTCAGGTCATGTCTCCTGTTGCGGTCTTGAATGTTCGGTCTCATCATCGAACGTTCTGTTGTTCATATTCCCCTAGGTCGATAGATTTCTTGTTGTATATGATTCACGACTGAATAAATTTTAAGTTCTTTCATAATGTTCTCATGTTTATGATCCCATATTGTGTATCATATACATTTTCTGTAGGAGGGACATTTGAAACCTAGAAAATTTAAAAACGGTGTGGCCACCCTGAATATTGGTGTAGGTGTATAAGAGGAGGCACGTACAAAACATGATTAAGCATATACAAGTTCATGGAATAGAATTTCCAAAAATATAGTATAACAATATATTTCACACACATATAAGTATCTGAAATGTTCTGTGCCTCATGCCAGATAATTGTTGTGTTGTTAGTCGAAGCAGCGTGATGTCACAAATTTCACTTTTGGTTTCATTAGATTTGCTGTGTGTACAGAGTCGTTATTATCAGGGATAAAACACAGTTCATACAGTGAAATGCCTTTGCCTTGTTGTTAACAATCTGCTGACTAGTTCAATGGTTACATTCTGTTGTCAGTCTGTTCGATGGTAGTGTGTTCACAGAATTCATAATTGCATTTTGGGTCCGTCTTGTGGTAGCTTGTATGTGTCTCTCTGGAAACTGTGAACAGCAGAATGTGTGTAGGTGTGCTGAAGTTTGAAATATGGCCTTTTCTGTTCATCTGCTTGCATGACATTAAAACAGCAAAACTCTTCTAGGATGGCTATTGCACTTTTATTCCTCTCATGCAATACTGTCTGATATGTAATGGTTTCTGGGAAGCTCATTTTTGTCTTTAATGGAGAAACTGGTTCTGATAACAGGTTATGCTTGTCTGGTTGGTCTGTACTTTGAAGTAATAAATACTGTCTTTAGGACCCGAGTGTTTGTTCTCTCAAGCTTCTTCAGGTTATTTTCCATAAGTCACTTGCATCCCATAGGTTGCTGCAGGGAATATTGTAAAATTGAAAATGGCTGTTGCTGGGCAGTCATGATTTGTTTGAATTGCAATTGCAAATGTTCTGAATGTATGCTGAATGTTGAAATAGTTGTTTGTAACATCATTCCCAGGTAATTAAATGGACCAACAGTTTGCGGTTTGTTTTGCCTGCTGATGAAGTAATTGTGCCTTGCCAAATTGCCATCCTCTTTTGAATGTCATGTCTTGTTTTGTTCCCATTGCTAACCATGCAGTTTTCTGTTGTACATGCATTCTTGCTGTCAGAAACCACATGTAGGTCTGCAGGGTTTGATGTTTGTAGCACCATATTATCTGCCTACATCAGTATTGTCATATTCTGGACATTCATAGATCTTATCATGTCTGCCAACATTGGGTTGAATAGAAAGAGATTCAATGGGTGCTCTTGAGTACCCTGTTTTTTATATAATATTCTTAGTTATGGACAGGCCATCACTCATTCTGGTGTAATTATGGTCCAAGACATTCCTAATGAGGGCAACTATGGGATTGGATTTTTCCAGTGTTGATTTAAGTTTGTACAATAGCTTACTCTTATCTAAACTGAGAAAACTTTTGCATTATTGATGAGCAGTCCACACATGAAACTCTCAAGTCAGATGAGACCATTATATACTTCTGTTATCAGCTGCCTCAAATCTTAAAAAGTAGACTTTGCATGTTTTTTGTCCGGATTGCATTGTATAGTCTGCTTGATATGTGGTTGGGGAGTAATCTTGTTCTTTGAAGGAGGAACATGTACTTCTGTACAAATTTGGATCATCTTATTTGCCTTTCCCTTGCATAGTGCTAATGCTATCAAGTAGTAATGAACATTAAAAATATTCTCCAGACAGTTTGCTCATTTCCTCTTATTATTGTAATAAATCTAGGACTTTATAACTAGGAAAAACAGTTTATAGAAATTAGTGTAATGTGTCATATAATACACAGCTCATTAACATATTGTGCTTGTTTTCAGATCTGCAATGTCTAGTAAAATTCATTATCCAGTCGAGGGCCTACTCATAAATGCTGAACAGCCTTTGCAAGACTTGATTACTGAGCTTAAAGTGAGTCTTAACAGTTGTCAAACCTTGTTCAGGTTGTTGCATGTTGAAATTAGGTACTTAAACTCTGCCATGAAGATATGTTCTGAAAAAGGTGTGAGTAATGTCAGTGTGAAAAATGTGAAACAAATTTTTATAGACTAAAATACTAAAACAAAACTACTTATTTCTTCCATTCTGTTAGTACTAATGTTATCCTTAATGTGAACCGTTGAAATTTTTGGTAGCAGAGAATGACTATGCAGCCATCTAATTGTATATTAAAATGTTTTTGTACTGTAATACTCTACTGATATTTATAATGCATTCAGCCCATATGATCTATACCTATATTTCTGAGCCATCAGCAAATTTAAAAAACAGATCACTTCATTGCTCTTTTTCATTAATGCTGTATCTGTATTTAGTCTCATTGAATAAGTGCCAGAGTTACTTGTCTCTTGCTGTTGTACATGATAGCTTCAGGAAGTTCCAGAACAGGAGCCATGTCTCAAATCTGGTGGCATTAAGAATCCCATAAATGCAGTCACCTTCAAAATAGTCTTTCAGCAACTACATACACATGCTAGCATGAACAGGCTCCAGCTTACCTGTCACAGTGTTGCTGTATTTTCTTATATCCTGTCATTTTTGGAAGTTACTGTGTGTTTTTTCTTGCTTTGAGTTCTGTAATGTTTGGTTTTGGAATAAAGAGTTCCAGTGTGCATACTGCAGAGATATGGAAGATAACTATCACTGTTTTATGTAGCATGAATACACATTAAAAAGCATTTTTTTGGCCATTAAGTTTAGCTTGGCAGAAATGCATTTGACTCATATTCAGTTCGTACTGATTTTGAATTTTTGCCAGGGTGTCAGCTGTATGAACTGAAGTTTTTATGGTTTTATTCGTTCTTTCAAGAAACATGAGAATAGTACCTTGAAATAGGCTGTGACTACTTGGTTACTTTGTTATCTTTTCCTGTCTGCCATTGTAATTATCATGCCATTTTAGTCAACACTACAGAAGCTATGATACTGATACAGTATCAGTGATTTGTGTATATGTGTATTTTCTATTTCCTCTAAGGCTGATTGTACTGAATTATTGTTGCATTACTTTCAGAATTTGCTGTTGTATCTGCAGAGAATTGGAAAGGAAGACACTACTGAAGGGAAGCATTTTGATGAGTTTATCCCATTGCTACAAAATTTAGTGAATCCTGACTTCCTGTGTCATGAGGATCCACTTGTAAAGATGATAGTGGCTTGCTGCCTTGGACAACTGCTTGGATTTCTGCCTGTCAGGTCATTCCGATGGGATGATGAAGAGTTAGTGGTGAGCTGTCATATAGCATTTCTTGCTTTGTAGAATTTCAGGGCCAACTGAAATCAGCCACAAACATGTTTTTCTTAAATCTCATACTTTAACAGAGGTGAAGTTTTATGTCTCGAAGAACTTGAAATGTTAATATGTCTTGCCACTTCATACTGTTTGCTGTAGTGAAAACTTCATTAGTGTTTCTCCTCTAGATATTAAATTTCAATACGAAATTGATGACATTATAAACTGACTAATTCCACAGTGCCAAATTCTTTAGAATCTGAAATCTGTGCAACTGCTTAAGAAATTCCCTGCCTTTTATGGAACCTAAATGTTTATTACTGTGTTCTGCTACATAAATCCCAATTACACTGTATTTCTGAAATGTTTATTTCAATATTATCCTAGTAGTCCCAAGTATTATCTTTCCTTGCGAATTTATGACTAAAATTGTGTATACCTTTCTCATATCTCCCATAGTATAACCTGCATTGTATTGGTCTGTTTCCAGGTGCTTCTAGACTTCTTCATTAAGCAGCTAGAATGTTTTGGTACTTCAGATGGTATCATTCTTAAGTACTGTGTCATTCTCTTGAAAATTCTGAGTACAGCTGACTCATTTAGCAGACTGTTTGTGTGCCTGGAATATACTACAAATAAAGAAAATATTTATAATGCCTTTCTATTGACAGTCTGTATGGCTGCTCGGTAAGTTGATATAATGACTGAAAAATATGTTTTAGTAGAATAGAAAAATATGTTTTAAATTAAATTTAATTAAATAATTATCTATGACTTGTTTTTGTTCCACTGTAAATGTGAGTGTGTTTAGATAGTTTTTTTAATTTTCCCCATGGTTAACCAACACCATGGAATAGAGGCTTTGAGAAAGTAAGTTAAGAAAGTCCCACATTTTTGTGGATCCTGAAGTTTCAGTACTATATTTGTGATAGCCTGTCATTGGTCACTGTCATGAGTCTGCTGAATTCAATCCATATCCTCACATTCTGTTTATTTAAAATGCACCATATTTAGATGGCATCTGAAATACAAAAATTGCATAATTAAAATCAAAGCTATTATTCTGTCTCAAGATGAAGTAAATAGCTAATGCTGTTTGTTATTAATTAACTGTGGTAATAGTACTATGAAAGCACATGCTGGGCCTAGTAAGGGGAGAAATTTGTGTGTTAGTAGCATCATGACATGAAGAATGATTCTGATGATTTTTAAATAGCATACTAGAAGTTCCCTGGACATTATTTTTCACTCCACTGTTGTATCACTCATTTATATTGATTACTTTACAAATTGTGAGTTTTTTGGCCAGGATCAATAGTGGGGTGAAGAGCTAGGTATCCAATTGTCTGTGCATTTCTTTGATAAATTCAATGTTTTCCAGGAATATAAGCCTCATGTTTGGCAAAGATGAACTGTATTAATATTTATTCCCATCTTAAAATTCAATGATTTTTTATTTCAGGATCAAGAGAGATATTTCAATGATGGAAATGTATGTTGTGCTGCTTCTGAAGAATTTCATAAATAATACAAAGTATACTTCCAGTACAGGAATTGATATAATCCTCTGTAGTATTCTTCGAGAGAATATAGAAGATTATCCGACAATGTACCATGTAGCAGTAAAAGTTATAAGGAATTGCATTAGAGCATTGGATTTTCCCACCAAAATGGTATGTACAATGACATCTGTTGTTTGATGCTGTAATGTTGTTCTCCAACACTTGAGAGTGAGATTATTTTCCAGATGATGATCTTATTTAGGAAGGTTTATCTTAAGAGTATACTATATTTTACTATCACAATCTTTTAGTAAGTTTTATTATGACAAAGTGTATTGTTGCACTCCTTTTTCCATCCCTGGTCCTTGTAATCTAAGTGTAAGGCTCTGTACTGCTCTGACAGAAGTCTTGGGTTTGAGACTGGCTGGACCTATTGTGCATTTTATAACATATGTTTTTCTTCCCCAACCTCTTATAAGATAAAGTCAGAAGTTTGTAAATGTTTCATATACTTGGCCCTCTCTGTGGTTTTTACTATTGATGCTGAGGCAGGCAAAGGCCAGGAAGGTGTATTAGTTCATATACAGAGGCAATTATTTCTAAAATGCGACCTGGTATACTCAATTGTGTTGGTCACCTTGAACCATTTTGAATTCTATGTAATTTCACAACACATATATTTTGTGGCATCTTATAATTGTATAACTTTCTCATTGCAAGGAATTGTTTACTTCTCAAACTATTTTATGCAGAGTTTTATAGTATCTCATAATGAAACTGCCAACAGTATATTCTGAAAGTTCAATATTTCTAATAGCAAACTTTAATACTGGTCTGTGTCCTGAGACAGTTTACTCCAGTTCACCTTCTTACAACCTCTTTCTTCAAGAGCCATTCTAATCCTGTTCTCTCTTTGCCTTATTGGTCTTTCTTGTGGAACATTTTGAATAAATTTTCTTAGTAAAGTGTTTTTTCCATGTATCTTACTGTTGCACTATGTCATCAAATGACATTGTTGTGCAGCAGTGTGTCCAACAATGACCTCAACTCCTGCTGTTGTGCAATGTTGTTCTTAGATCATTGGACTAATGTGATCCAAGGTAATTTTTGACATGTTCCAACAATAGTACATTGGTTCCAGTTGTTGCACAACCTTTGATCATGTGGATTGCCTCCCTTCTAAGAAAAATGTGACAGACAGCGGCTGGTCCTTAAGGTGTTATTTGCTCATGCTAGAGTGTGAAGAACACCTAAAACTGTAAATTTGAAAAACAAGGGAGATATGTTTATGATAAGGGCTAACTCAACAAAGTAGATAATTTTTTAAAATGTGTGAACAAGATACACCACAACTCAGGAGTGAAGTTTGCCTCAGAGAGTCCTGGGGACAGAAGTGACATGACCTGTGAGGGTCAAGTGAATATGATAGGTGAATTAAGACATGACCATGATAAGCAGTATGCTCTATTCTGTCTTGTGCATAAACTCTTGAACAACGTGGTATGCAAACAATATCAATATTGACACTTTTTTGGGAATGTACAATGATTTATATCTTCACAAACCTAGGAATGCACTTTCTCAAAACTTGCTCTTTGCAGATTTTTCCTCAGATTTACTTTTTAAATCAGTCAAAAATCACTGTATTT